GAAGGGTCCCAGACCGAAGTGGTTCTAGCTTTCCCCGGGAGCTATTCCCGAGAGCTGCTAGCTTCACCAAGACGAAGCTCCTCCTCGGAAGACAGGGCCTCTTCAACAGGCTTTGGAATGCACTCACTCCCCTAAGAAGCCAGCTTGGCCCCCTTTCTCTTGTCCTTTCACTGGCAGGTAAAGATATTCCTTTTTAAAGCAAGCTTACAACTGACTTGGACAAGTACAGGCCATTATGAGGTGCTGTACAAACAAACGAGTGGGTATATTTTTAAACAGTGACTTTTAATACTTTTGTTTATTCAATTGTTTCTAATATATCTTATATGATGTTATTTTTATTGTTGTTGAGCCACCTTGGGTCCTCTATGGGTAAAAAGGTAGCATAACTGACAGAGAGTGGGAGAGAAAGGGGGAGGTAGAACCTATCCACTGAGCTACTGCAGAGAGACGCAATTTTTCACCAAATCTGTGTTTCATAATCGCAATCACCAGGAATTGTTGCTGAATATGTTATAATTTGCTACACTTTATTGCATACACAGACAGCTGGTTGAAACATTTTAAATCTGTCATATTACTGTGGGGAAAATGCTGCTTGCCTAGACAAAAGTGGCTCCCGCCTTATAAACGTTGGCTTCACAGAGAACACACACTTTAAAACCCAAAATGTAAACCAGAGTAAGAAAACTGAAAGATAAAATCTAACATATGACTCCACTAACTCACGTTACAAAGAAATAGCAATTAACGAAGCGTCCGAAAGCCAAGACTAACCCTTATTACAGTAGCTAAGAAAGAAAAGACCATAAAGATTAGATGAGGGCTTACTCCCTCCAGCACAACCCCTCAGTGTGGGCTTACCCAGAAAGTCAGAGCCATAGGTCTTGGCTTCTTCCCAAATTCTAAAAATAGCCTACATTTTACCCTGTGTGAGCACATGGACAAGCGGAGACTTGGAGCAAAGGACAAAGGAACAAAATTATACCTGAGATTTTTAGGGCTGAGATGGAGAATGAAAAGTTATTTTTACTTGTTTTTCTAGCACTTTTTATTTCTGAGCCTTTTAAAAAAAGACTTCATTCGGAAGCACATGTGACAACTGCCACATTTACTAAAGAGAAAGCACTGCCACTATACGTATACAGTATATACATATATAGACATATTCCTTTACCAGTCTCCACAGTGTTTTCTGTTTTTGCTGCCTCCAAGCCATCCATGCTGTCTTCATCCTCCACTGCAGGTCTTCCTCTACTTCGAGGCCTATGAAATACAAGTAGCAAAATGTTTATAATATGGGAAAACATAATTTACAGATCGTGTTAAATAATACTAAATTAGCTGAAGTGTAAAAATATTAAAAGCCAATCTACACATTCTGCTGTCCTCTGTTCAATGGTTCAGCTATTATCGAATGAATGCTTCCTGTCCTAAATTACCATCCCTTAGGATCTTTGAAAAAATACTTCAGGGATGTTAGAAGAGCCTGTCTCACACTGTGGGCCTCATTTTCTTCTGCAGAGAAAAATCCACAGACATTTGTCATCAGGGATACTGCTTTTGAGAGCCTCCTTTAAGAGTAGTTTGGCGATAAGGAGAGATGATTAAGAAAATAACTTTCCTTGCATAATGAATTGCAAGGAATAAGATAATAAGTAGTGCAATTCTCTGTATCCCAGCTATCAAAGCTGAAAAATTGTACTAAAATATGTAATCAATTACAAACTCTTTTGGTTGACTGAAACCATGACCAGACAAATCGGGAAACAGATGTCTGAAAATTATTTTTTCATAGAAGTGTATATTGTATTGTAACACCTTCATGAATATTATAATACCATCATGAGACAGGCATATATATGAGACTGCCTGTTCTTAAATTATGCTTTCTACAACAGATGTCTGTAACATCTAAACTCAAAGTATGTCTTATCATTCACAATCATTGTTTTTCCATGATTTTAATGGATTAATGGAAAACTCCTATCATCCATCAAGATTATTTTTAAATTAACAACCCTACTGAAATACAGATGAACATTTACTTTTTTCAGTCGTTTTAATTTTGAGGAGACAAGAATAACTATTAATTTTTCAGAAGAGTGTTCATAAACACAATTGAAATAATTTAAATCAAAACTCCACATAAAAATGAGATTTCATCAAATATATATTTAAAATATAACTATGCATTACAAGAGATGGTAGGAAAATGTTTTGAGATCATTTATTTTTCATCATATGAGAAATTGGATAAACATTACAGGAAGACTGAAAGCTGTGTGCAGTTCACAAATTTGCATGGGTCCCAAGCAATCCTGGATAAAATTCCCAAAAACATAACAGATACAGAAGAGGCTCATCATTTACAAAGGAAAATGTAGAATGAAATGAAATAAAATGATTTTCGGAAATATGAGTTGGTATGAGAACAATATGTAAAAGGAGTTTAAATGTGTCCCATGTCTGAATTTATCTGGCCATATCTCAGCAGGAGTCAAAAGATGCACATGCTTTCATGGCAGCTCCAGAAATTTTAAGATTTACAAAAAATGCAACATATAGCAATAATAAAACATTACAATAATAAATGCAATGAAATGCTTAACATTGCTGTAATCATACCCAAGAGGATATTCACAAAGAACAAGCAATTGCAAAATTACAATTAATTGTACTGTATTGAATTAACTACAGTATATAAGGATACTTTATTTCTTTGCAAATATAAGCTTCCAAGCTGGCATTTACATGTTTATGATTGATATTATACTTTGTCTCTCTTGAAATAAACTTTGGAAGTATATTTTGATTATGAATTTATTATTTCACATAGAGAAACCCAAATGAAAACTAACATATCTGAAGTGAGGATATATTTCATGCTTATGTCACCCAAACAGAGCTGTAAAGACTTGGTGGCCAAAATCCTACTGTGTAAGGTAATCAAGGTCATAAGTTTCAATCCATTCCTCATAGGAAAATAAGGAACTCCCACTGTGATTCTGGGGCATGCACACACATGCATCAAATCAGTGTGTATGTGTTGCCTCCCCAGAATTGCAGCAAGGGCTTTGTATTTACCCATGAAGAGGGGACTAAAACTTGTGATTTTGCTTAAAATGTAACAGAGAAAAAATAATGAGAAACATGTACGAGAACCTGTTTTGTTCTTATCTTACAGAGAAGGACAAGAGAAGCCCCTCAAAAAGGAATACTGAAAAGTTAAACATAATTTTTAATTTAACCATACTATATGATACAATTTCTGGCATGTATACACACAAAATCTACTAGTGAAAAAATGGTATTATCAAGAATTTAAATGGCATTTTTGAAGCAGAATACACAATTAGCACTTACACCACCTCTTACAGGAAACCACTAGGTTATTACATTAAAATATTTTCCTTCTGTTTATTCACAGGTTATATATACTTTTATATTTATAGCCTACAGTCACTATATTAATATGTAAAGAATTGAACACATACACACATTTCCCTTTTAAATATGCCATACTGCTGATTTCTTAACTGTATTCCCCTCCCCCAAACACATTTTAAGCAATGCATTTAACATTAGCAAAATCACAGGTTTGAACTAATTGAATATAATTACTTCTTTTCAATAAGGAACATATCCACATCTGGTGTTTTCATGCAATTTTCGTCTTTCATGCATTCAGTACAAAAGGCCTTTCAAATACAGCACAGGTTTAAAATACAGTAGTTCTATTAGAGTAAATCTATAAAATAGAAGCCAGAAGAATATATTTACACTTTTATTTAATGTGAATTCAGCATATGAAACAATCTGAAGAAGAACCATGGCATTCTACAGTCCAAATAAACACAGTGACATAAATACCTTAAAGACTGAAGAATACGAAAAGGCAGAAACCATAATTAGTCCAATGTAGACAAATATTTTGTGTGTTTAATTTTGCAGGTATTTCAAGGATACACTTAATATATAGTGACTTAGAAATTTGAAGACAAAAAAATATTAGCAAACAAAACCACAGCAGCTGATTTTAAAAATTGCATAAAAAGAAGAAAACGGCCGTCAGCTGAAAACACTGAAATATTGGAATAGCAAAAGACATTGAAATATTGGAGCAGCAAAAAGGCTTGGATAAATTTTAAAAAGTTTTAATATGCTAGCAAAGTGAAACCTGAGGTGATACAAAAGTGAGTATCTCTAGAAAGATAATTACAAAGAAAGCACCACATCTGAAAAGATCATGTCTCCAGTTACCACCTATCTTATTTCAGATGGCAGCTGGAAATGGTGCAGAGTCCAGTCTCAAAAACAAGCAGACTTGTACAATTGTCTCGAAAACCTCCTCTGAAACCATGCAGGGCTTTTCTGGTTAAGACCACCACTTTAAAGTGTGTTTAAACTGTAGTAGCACAGACATTGCTGCCAAGAGGTTGGGCATTTCCTATCTCTTTGCCCAACCCACCATCCCTGAGCTTAATAATTTTGGTGGCTGAAGCCAGTGATGGAAGGATGCTGGTGGAGAGAATGTAATCCAGAGAGGATTTTTGATCTAGTTGCTTCAATTTACCACCTTGGAAACTAATCAAGCTGCTGGGTGGCGAGTTTGCTGGCAGGGTGGAGTGGGCAGAGAGTAAAGGCAAATATTTCTGACATAGTGTCAACTCCTGCAATATGCCACTACCTTTCTGTCTCTATACATCTTCGGAGTGCAGAGGAAATTAAATTTTGCAAAGAAAATAAACATAATTAATCAATCATATTTAACCTCAGCAGCAGTAACCTGGATAAACACATCAGAATCCCAAAGAATGCAGTTGCAACAGGTACCACAGACACCTGATTTTGCTCCTGCTGTTTACAAGAGCTACTGAAACTCTAGTCTCCAGTATAGAAGATGAATTCAAGCTAAATGTAAGAAATCACAGCAGAATACAGGTACTTTTTTCCTATTACACATTAATGGTCTTGTACAACCCAAAACCAGGCAATGCCTGAACGAAAGAACATACTAATGGAGTTTCAGAAGTGGCAGGGCTGGAAATTAATTATGCAAAATCTGAACTAAGATGCATTAGTATAGAAAGACACCTGAAATAGAGAGACATCCATTAACTCTCCAACTTAATACTGAGATGCCACCACTTAAAGCTTTTGGGAGCAGTTATATCTTAACACCTTTCACAAATCTGGAGAAGGAATTTTAAACACCAACTCTCTAAAGTGCCACTCCCGGCTTGCGACACAGCAGTCTTCAAGTCAATGATCTAGCCGAAGTTTCAATTCCTACTGTAAGGCCTTCTGATATTGCTATCACACCTATATATTTTCAGAACATTCTGGAGCAAAACATTCTGGAGATCGAAATGCAAAAAAAGGCAAATAACTATTCTAGAGACCGTCACCAATAAAGATTTCACCACTGAAAAAAGGCTAACAAGAATATATTACACTACTGTTAACTACATACCAGTACTGAGTGACTTTCCAATTTTAATTTTTAGCTGAAACTATTTCACTTAACAAAAGCAAGCAATCCCATTGAGCCTTGTGGTGCAGTGGTCAAACTGCTGTCCTGCAGCCAAACCTGTAATCACGACCTGGGCTCAAGGCTGACTCTGCCTTCTATTCTTCCGAGGTCGGTAAAATGAGTAACCAGCTTGAGGTGAGGGCAATGTGTAGCCTGCATAATTAACTTGTAAACTATCCAAAGAGTGCTTGAAGTAATATAGGGTGGTATACAAGCAGCACACTTTCTATAATCAATCCAATCTTTTGCATCTACATCCTTGTGAGCCATCCCATTTCTGTACACTGATTACTGGATATATACCCTTTGTTCTTGAAAGCAGAGCTGACCAAGTCCTGGGACCTGTCATGTGTTTCAATTTTTTAGATCACCCTCTTTTGACAAACCTGGACAATTATATGCAATTTAAATAAGAGGAAAGCATTAAAAGAATTATTTTATTGATATGAACTTAAAGGGCTCATTTGGAAAAAGAAAACTTACATCTTGAGGAAAGCGTTTCTAATCATGAAATGAAATTTGGTTGACAGGTCGGTCATCCTTCTAGAGGAAGTGGACAAGCATACCAACACTAGACTACCCTCCTTCACTGCAGGAAAAGAACTAGGTTACCACATTTCAAAAAACTAAAAAAGGTCTGCAATCAAATTGCCACTGAGACTGAAAACTAATGGGTTATTAAATATATTTGAATATTTTTGTATGAAATCATCTTTGAAAATGAAAGTAG